CTTTTCCCCCTCCAACCCCTGACAGCTACTTTCTGTTTCCAAGAGTTTGAGTACTTCAGATTCCTCATACAAGTGGAATCATGAAGTATTTGCCATTCAGCAACTAGCTGATTTCACTTAGCATAATGTCCTCAAACTTCATTCATGTTATAGCATGACAGGATTTCCTTCCTTTTTTAAGACAAAATACTATTCCATTGCATGTATGACCACATTTTCTTTATCCATTCATCTGTTAATGGACATTTAGGTTGTCCTGGGCTGTGGACCAGTACTCTCTGTGGCCTGTTAGGAACCAGGTTGCACAGTAGGAGGTGAGCAGCAGGGGAGCAAGCATTACTGCCCAAGCTCTGCCTCCCATCAGATCATCAGCAGCGTTAGATTCTCATGGGAGCAGGAACCCTTGGCTACTGTGAATACTGCTGCAATGAACATGGGAGTACAAATATCTCTTTGCGATTATGATTTCAATTCTTTTAGATAAATACCCAGAACGAGGATTGCTGCTGTATTAGTTCATTCTCACACTACTCTAAAGAACTACCTGAGACTGGGTAGTTAATAAAGAAAAGAGGTTTAGGCCAGCCATGGTGGCTCACACCTGTAATCCCAGCACTTTGGGAGGCTGAGGTGGGCAGATCACGAGGTCAGGAGTTTGAGACCAGCCTGACCAACATGGTGAAACTCCGTCTCTACTAAAAATACAAAAAATTAGGAGGCGTGGTGGTATGCACCTGTCATCCCAGCTACTCAGGAGGCTGAGGCAGGAGAATCGTTTGAACCCTGGAGGCAGAGGTTGCAGTGAGCCGAGATCACGCCACTACATTCTAGCCTGGGTGGCAGAGCGAGACTCTGTCTCAAACAAAAAAAAAAAAAAAGAAAAGAAAAGAAAAGAAAGAAAAGAGGTTTAATTGACTTGCAGTTCTGCAGGCTATATGGGAGGCATGACTGGGGAAGCCTTAGGAAACTTACAATCATGGCCGAAGGTGAAAGAGAAGCAAGCACATCTTCACATGGCAACAGGAGGAAGAGAGCGAAGGGAGAAGCACTATGCGCCTTTAAACAACCAGGTCTCGTGAGAAGTCTGTCACAAGACAGCACTAGGGGGATGCTGCTAAAGCATTAGGTACCAACCCCATGATCTAGTCACCTCCCACCAGGCCCCTCCTCCAACACTGAAGATCATAGTTCAGAATGGGATTTGGGTGAAGACACAGAGCCAAACTATATCAGTTGCATCATGTGATAATTCTATTTTTAATTTTTTGAGGAACCTTCATACTATTTTCCACAGCCACTGCACCATTTTACATCCCTACTGACAGTACACAAGGGTTCTAATTTCTCCACATTGTCACCAGCACTTGTTATTTTGGTTGTTTTTTTGTTGTTTTTGTTTTTGTTTTGACAATGGCCATCTTAACAGATACAATGCTCATTGTGGTTTTGATTTGCATTTCCTGAGTGATTAGTGATGTTGGCATCTTTTCATGTACTTGTTGGCCATTTGCATAACTTCTTTGGAGAAAAGTCTATTGAAGTCCTTTGCCTGCTTTTTAATCAGGTTATTTTTACTTTTGTTGTGTGGTTATTGAGTTGTAGGAGTTTTTAAAACTCTATATTTTGCTTATTAAGCCCTTATCAGTTATATGGTTTGAAAATGTTTTCTCTCATTCCATAGGTTGTCTTTTCACTCTATTGATTGTTACCTTTGCTGTGCAGAAACTTTTTCGTTTGATGTTGGCCCACTTGTCTGTTTTTGCTTTTGTTGTCTGTTTTTGGTGTCATAGCCAATAAATCATTGCCAAATCTAATGCCATGAAGGTTTTCCCTTATGTTTTCTTCTAGGAGTTTTATAGTTTCATGTAACTTATGTTTAGAACTTTAATCTGAGTTAATTTTTGTGTATAGTGTAAGATAAAGGTCTAATTTCATTTTTTTGCATGTGGTTATCCAGTTTTCCCAGCACCATTTGTTGAGAAGACTATCCTTTCTCAATGTGTAGCCTTGGTACTTCAGGTAAAATCATTTGACTGTCTATGCATAAGTATATTTTGAGGCTCTCTATTCTGTTCCATTGGTCTATATATGTCTGACCTTATGCTACTACCATACTGTTTTAATTACTGTAGCTTGGAATATGCTTTGAAGTCAAGAAGTGTGAGGCTTCCAGATTTGTTCTTCTTCCTCAAGATTGTTTTAGCTATTCAGGGTCCTTTTTAATTCCATAAATTTTAGGATTTTTGCTATATCTGCAAAACAATGGCATTTGGATTTTGATAAGGATTATATTAAATCTGTAGATCATTTTGGATTATATGCACATTTTAATAATATTAAGTCTTTTAACTCAAGGGTTCCCAACCCCTGGGCTGTGGACCAGTACTGGTTCTTGGTCTGTTAGGAACCTGGCCACACAGATCTAGAGATCTGTAGGAGGTGAGTGAGTCTAGAGAGTGAGTGAGATCCAGAGATCTGTAGGAGGTGAGCAGCAGGCGAGTAAATAGTACTGCCTGAGCTCCGCCTCCAGTCAGATCAGCGGTGGCATTAGATTCTTATAGAAATGCAAACCCTATTGTGAACTGTACACGTGAGAGATCTAGGTTGTGTGCTCCTTACAAAAATCTAATGCCTAGTGATCTGAGATGGAACCATTTCATCCTGAGACCATCTCCACACCCCCACTTCAGTCCATGGAAAAATTGTCCTCCACAAAACCAGTTCCTTGTGCCAAAAAGGTTGGGGACCACTCTTTTAACCTATGAAAGCTGTCTTTGCATTTATTTGTGTCTCTTTAATTTCTTTCAGGAATATTTTATACTTTTCACAGTACAAATCTTTAAGCTTATCCCTAAGTATTTTATTTTAACTTGAACACCCAGGCTGTCTGACTAGAGCCTGCATTCTTAACCTACCTCTGCTGCCTCTGCAGACATGGCCTCTGCCTTGGGGCAGCCAAAGGCCAGCATGGTAGTGGGGAAGGAGAAGGGGCCAGCTATGGCCCAGTGGGGCCACAGGAGAACACAGAAGCCAAATACTTTTCCCCAGGGTGACCTGGATTTGATTATTTGTTCATTTTCACTCAGGTTTTCAAAACAAAAAAAAAAATCCTTTCAAAAAAAGCTGTTAGACAAATGCTGAAACTCTGACTTGCCTGCCCCTGCTTAGCAGCCGTCATTGGAACCAGGGGAAGGCTCCGGCTGGCTGCTTCTGGTCAGGCCTGCCAGCCTCCTGGGCTGGCTGAGGACACTCACAGGGGGAGCAGGTTCCTCAAGACAAGCCCCCTTCGCTGGCCCTGGCTTGCTCCCTCCTCCCTCCCTGTCTCTTCCACCTCTATGTCCCCTTCCCTTGGACTGCCTCAGGAAAAGGAAGAAGAACGTATTTTAAAAAAAGAAGTTTAATGAAACCAAACACTTGTATTTCCAACTGTTGACATTGGATTTGTGCTTCTCCAACTCTGCCATTTGGGACAAGTCTTTCTCCTCCTCTCTTCACCCGATGGTGTAATGCAAACAGACCATAAAAAAATAAACTTTCCCCCCAAATATTATCTTAGGCCTCATTTTATCATGCTTCCTTGAGCTGTCTCTGTAAAAGGGAAGAAAAAAGAATGTGAGTTTTATTTTGCACCAGGCTGGATGGAGAAGGCCCTATAGCTGGCTCTTCCCGGTGTGGACTCTCTCCTTTGACTTATAGTCTCCTTCCCAGAGCACTCAATGGCTGTTCCATTTCCATTTGTGCCTCACCTAGGTCCCCCACATCAATTCTCCAGTTCTTGTCCATTCATCTGCAAAATGGGCTAATAACACCTACCTACAAGGTTGCTGCAACACAAAGGGACTCAGAACACAGGGTGGGTACAATGCAAGGGGAGGCGGTGGGCTCTGATCTAACTGCAGAGAATATGCCCTTGCCTATATGCAGTCTTGCTCCACTTAAAAGCAAAACAAACCAATGAGTGAAAACACTCTGTGATGGCCAAAACAAAACACAACTGCAAGGTGAATTTGGGCTCGAAGCTACCTGTTTTCAACTCCACAAGGACTAAGTGAGACAATATTTGAGAGAGAGGCCTTAAAATCCACATTCTCTAGAGTGGAAAATGCCCACAATTTACCTCCCAAGGTGAGCGAGCATGAGGACCTTCCTTCCTTGAAGGTGGGCTCTGATGGGATGGGGAGATGGGAAGAAAAACTGAGATTCACAGGGCCTAGGGTGACCTCTCAGGAGGTCAAAGGACCTGGGGAGAGAAGGCTGGGCCGATGGGGCCCAGGTTGGCCTTTACAACAGTTCGACAACATTCAGATCTTAGCAGCTAGTACCTGGATGTGACAAAGCTTTGAATTCTGAAGAAACAAACAAAAAATCGGCGTTTACCCTGATGGTCCCATTTGAACTGCATCACTGGTAACCAGAGTAGAACGGGAGACATTTCAAATTGGAATTTTGCCATTCTGAAACCCCAAATAAATGAATGGGTCTAGGCTGAATCTTGGAATGAAACATCTATGGTTATTATTAAAATAATAATTATTTTAAAAATGATTACACGTTCTGGAGAACAAAGGCACTACCACCTATGATGTTGTCTTGCCAAAAATAATCAAACCCACATTGGATCAAGCCTATAGATCCAACTAGCAACTTACAGGAAATATAGGGGCCAGAGGAACACATCAACAACACCATGGGGGTGCAAGTGGCAAAATCCACGCTGTGGGAAACTCTACCAATGATCCAGTTCTTATAACACATACATTCACAAGGGGAAAGGAGTGTGGTAAAGGGGAAGTCTGTACATTAAAAGAGACTTTAAAATATTTTAAAAGTAAAACTAAACCACAATGTTGAAGAATGCACATGTGGACTGATAATGGCGTGAGGAAAGGAAGGAGGGTGTTTCCATACAAGGCAAGTAAGTGGTCACCTCTAGAGGGCAAAGAGGGAGGGTGAGGAAACAGTCTTTTTCTATTGCTTATAACAGAATACCTGAAACTGAGTAATTTATAAAGAAAAGGAATTTATTTCTTACAATTACAGAGGCTGAGAAGTTCAGAGTCAAGGCACCACGTCTGGCAAGAGACTTCTTGATGGTAGGCACTTTCTGCAGAGTCCTGAAGTGGTACAGAGCATCGCATGGCAAGGGGGCTAAGTGCTAGCTCAGGTCTCTCTTCTCCTTCTTATAAAGCCACCAGTCCCACTCCCATGATAGCCCATTCACCCATTAAGCCATTGGATAACCTTCACTTTTTAATGATTTATTAAGTTATACATTTCTTTTCTGTGTCTGTGCTAAATTTTTTATCATATAAATATTTTTTTTAAGTACATGCCCCTGATTCTTCCTCTACTCCTAGCCCCACAAATTTGGAGCCCTTTTGACTATCAGCTGCCAATTTCTGGGTTCTAAATTCTGCCCAGCTTTCTATCCTCCTTTTCCTAGATTACCTCCTGATTATATTTTATATCAATCATAATGAGTTGTTATGCTATAGAAACAAATAACCCCAAGATCTCAGTGGCTTAAAACAAAGGTTTACTTCTTGCTTATGCTACATGTCCATCATATCTCAGCAGGGGGCCTCTGCTCACCTTTGTTGCTCAGAGACTTAGGCTAACAGAGCAGCCACCTCCTCTGATATCCTCAGGGTCTAGGACGGGATTGATTGTCCATCAAATGGTTTGGCATGGAACTGACACATGTAACTTCTGCTCACAATCCATTGGCTAGACTGGTCACGTGGAACCATCCAACCACAAGGAGGAGGAAGTGCTGTGTTGTAAATATGCCCAGAAATATTTGCTTGGTATACATTAATAAAGCAGTCCTTGCTTTTTATGGAACTGATGTACACAAGTTTCAGTTTAGTGAAATAATACCAGTTCCCAACAACTAGTTCAAATTTCAGTCACCACAGTATATTAACTATAATTGCATAAAGTACAAACTTCATTGCCTGCTTGCCGGTCCATAAATTATGACATAAATAACAGATGCACATCATGATGAACCAATCACATCACTTCTTTCAAAACCTGTCCATGATTAGTCATTGCACATCTGTTATTCAGTTCATGCCCAGACAGCAAAATGTGAAGTTGTGTTGCTTCCTTGTCTTCCAGTGATAAATCCATGTGACGAAAATGTTACAAAATTGGATCATTGATAGAGGGTAAGCGAACAAAAATAAAAATGCAACAAAGAAACAGAATGTGATAACGCTGGCAGTAAACTGTATGTGATTAGACTGAAGATTTGAAATTGGCAAGAGCAGAGCAAAGATCAGATGCACCATGGCCTGCATGGAGCTATGGAACAAACTGCACTGGAAAAATCCAATGTGTATTAAAAACAAGGTAATGTTGCTTCATCTTTTAGTTTAAATTACAATACGAACAGAAAGCTGCTTATACTTGGAGAGTTTTCCACTTTGGATTGAAGACTGTAATATTTCAAAATCCGAAGTAGTTTGGCTTGCATCCTGGCCAAGGCATTGATCTTAGTTGCCACATTGAAAGAAAATGGTAATTACAAGGATACTGAAGAAGAATCTTTTACTGCCAGTAAAGGCTTGTTTCCCCATTCCAGAATTTCGCATGAACTGATTGATGTCAAGCTACTAATGAAGCTGCTAGCACAGGTAAGGATGTAGCTGGGAAATTTGCATCCAGATCCCAAGAAAATGAAGATGTCCCAATGGAAGTGGCACTGGCAAAAAACTTCATCTTCAAGGAATTCTTACAGATACTTTATGACATTGCAAGAGCAAAGGATAAAACATCACAAGCTGACTTAGAACTAGACTACACTTAGAACAAAGTACGACAATTCACCAAGGCATAGAAAAGTTGCTCCAGCTGTATCATAAGCTATACAGCAAGGGAAAAAAGGCAAGAACTGAGCAAACGATGTTTGATATGTGTTTTACAAAGAAATAAAACACCTTAATTCTCAATGTTTCTAATGTTTTAAATTACAATGTAATAAATAAATATTAGTTTTGTTAATTTTTCATTTCCCTATGCATTTATAACCAACAGTAAGAGAATGTTTAATGTTTTGACAAAAATGTTTAAAGGTCACAGAACAACTGTAATTCTTCCCACTGATTATTAAGATTGCTTTGCGGGGTTTCAGCTTACACAGTCATTTTAAGGGTCTTGCACTACTATGCAAAATAAGGACTTCCTGTATACATAACTGGTTTATGTGGAATTAGATTCCAATTTCCCCATGTCTGTCTGTGCCAATTCACTTGCATGGAGTGTGAGAAAACTCCTGGAAAAAAGAATTTGAGCCATAGGGTTAGGTAGGAATAGGGATTCCAGGTATAGTTTGGAGGCTATTAAACCCTAACCCGATCCAGCCACCTTGATGGCCTATGTGTGACCCTGAGTGAGAAAGAGCTTTGTAGATAAAATGAGACCAACTGCACCCACATAGAGCCCACCACTCTGCTGTGGGATCCAGAGAGAAGAATGTCTACTATGCAAAGGAATGATGTTTTTTTCATTTACTGTATGGAGGTGGGGTGCATAGATATATCAAGCTACAACCGAAATAAGGACTCAAAACCTGGTTTGGGCTGAGCATCCATGGGACCTCCCGGAGCCATCTAGGCCTTCTGACAAGGGTGAAGCTCCCAGAACCTATCTGATGCCCAAGAGCAACAGTGCTGGTGGGAGCCTCTGCTCCGGGGAACAGAGAGGAGGCCATCAACACTGGGGTATAAGCAGCAGCCTCAGAAGAGGGTGGAGAGCAGTGGCCAAGCAGCAGTGTGATCTGTTGAGAATGTGTGGGCTCCTGATGATCACTCAGGTGTTCTGGGGAGGAAGCAGGGTCAGTGTGGAGAGCCCTGCAAGGGGGCTGAGGTTCTGAAGTTATATTTAGTGGGACCTCTAAGCTCAGGACATTTACACTATGTCAACGTACTATTTTTCATGCTGGCAGTGAGGCCTGGGAACATTAGGACTGTTTATATAGGTAGGGTGGCTATATAATTCATTGTTCAAACTGTGGATATTTTAAAAGTAAAAAGCATTGCTACTAATAATAATTAAATCTCTTGGTAATGAAAGTCACAAATGGACTGTCCCAGCCAAACCAGTCTGTAGGGTCATCTTAGTTACAGATGCCATGCAGGTAATTGTGAATTAGAAGTCAAATCAGAATTAGTAAAAATGAGTGAATTTGCTGGTGTTGCTGCAACTGGTGGTGCAGGCAGAGCTCCCTGGAAGTGGACTCTGAGATAGAGATGAGCGTGCAGGACACTTACTAGACAGTGTACCCAGGATCAACATCTATGGAAGAGAAGGGAGAAAAACAGGATTGGGCAAAAGAAGATGCTGGAATGTCTGTCAGTCTCATCAAAGGCCTCAGCTGACCCCATGGGGAACTCTGGGCCGGGATGACCCGCAGAGCTGCCCCAAGTTGGGGTGAGGCGGATGGGCCTCCATTCTCCACATCAACCAGTCTTGGATTTGGCTGCCCCAAGCTCTCTCTCCAGCGGAGCGTAGGTTTCTGGAGAGTGCTGACAGGTGGCAGGACTCCCAAAAGTCCTGAAGAGGGGTCAGGGTGGTATATCACAGCATCCACAGCCCTAAAGGAGAGGAGGGTCTGAATTAAAAATATTGGTATAAAGGTATGTACTTTAAGGTCAGTCATTAGTCAAATCCTGCCAGAGATCCTGCGGCATCTGTTTTGAAAAAGAGGTGAGAGTTGATGGAATTAGCATGCTAGATGCTTATATGCAAATGGTGTTACCAAAAAGGGGGACTTAGTCTCTCAAATCAGTAAAATAGCACCAGTCTTCTTGGTACTACTTGGAAAACTTTTTCCCTAGGTAAACTTCTCCCCAGCTCTATTTGGTAATATCTCTATTTAAGACATGCACGTCAGGCTTACTATGTTCCAGGCACAGTCTGAAGCACCACGGAAGTATTAATCCACTTCATTCTCATAAGAAAACTATGAAGTAGGCATTACAGACAAGGAAACAGAGACCCCTGCGACCAGGTCATCTGCCTCAAGTGGTGGTGCCAGCATTTGGACCCAACTCTCACATCTCCGGAGACTCTGCTTTTCATCATGCCACGCTGGCTCTCTGGTCCACCATTTAATTTAGTAAGTACTATATCGTTGCAATAAAATGTAACAAGTATCCAACTGACAGCTCCTGTCAGTTGCCATATTCAATCTTTGAAGAAAATAAAAATCTCTGCAGTGATACAAAGAAGTAAAATAATAATAACAGAAATACCTAACGTGTTGAGGTTTGACTCTGTGCCAGGCACTGTACTAGCAGCCATCCATGCAGCACACCTCTTTACTATGCAGAACACTTCTTGCTGGCCTTGAAGGAGATTCTTATTTAATTGGGAAGTGAGACCAGAAACAGTTACATAACCATATGCAAGGCACGTGTGATTAACAGCTCTTACGTGCGAGACAGGCTGCCACTTGGCAAAGTGGTCAGAGAGGGACAGTCTGGGTTCAGATCCAGGGGATTTAGAAACACTGAAAAAAATTATGGGGTGCCCTTCCCCATTATTAAAAATAAGTGATAAACAACAAAATTATAGTAAAGAAGTCCAAGAAAGTTCATGTCTTTCCCATTATGATTATTTCAGTACCTTTAAAAGAAAATTTCTCAGAACAAATTCTTGCCAAACAATGCTTTTAGTTGCTCATGCTTTGCTGGTGCAAGCTCTAGGGTGATTTTCAGTTAGTGTAATTCAGCCCTGAAGAAAGAAGAGCTTACTGTGGACCCATCAAGTCAGAATGCTTCATGGACCTCAAAGACAGCGGGATTAAGAAAGGAGAGAAATGAGGAAAGGGTATGTCCAGAGGGAGGAACAGGGAGGAACTGAGAACGTTGTCCTCGCTGAAACACAGGGAGTGTGCAAGGGTGCACCTAAGCTGGGCAGATGGATTAGGGCCACATTTAAAGGCCTTGATTTTCTGGTCATTATGGGCTTGTAATACGTCCCATAAGCCGTGGAAATCTATGGAAGGGTACTGCAATGTTGTCCCTGCCATTGTCTCTCCTTCTGGTAATCTGAACACCCAGGCAGCCAAGGTGCTCAAAGATCTCTGGAGCAGAGCTCCAAGCAGAAGGGGTCTGGGATCCTTGGCCACCCTGTAGGCAGCTCGCCTATACTGTGGCTCTGACACTGCGGTTACTGTAAATTCAGGAACTTCCTCATTGCTCAGTTGCCCTTCCAAGGGGACCTTACCAACTATAGGCTTTGGGCAGCTGCCTAGAGTTGAGGGCTGACCCTAAGGGGCCCTAGGCCTCCCTCTATCCTACTGCCCAACCATTCTCCTGTGGTCTTGCAAACAGCATTCCATCAGGTATAAGTGCTTCAGCCATCTTGGTTTCATCTTTCCGTCCATCCTCTGCTGAACTGTTAAAGCATTTTATTCCACAAACAAATCTGATCTTGCAACTGCTCTGACCTGAAGCTTGCTGCAAGGCAGAAGAATGGCAGGAATGCACTGGGATCAGTGTTACTGTGGATGCATTGCAAGAGAAGGGCCGGGGCTTGGCTATAGCATCAGATACTGGAGGCAGACCCAAATTCTTAAAGACCCAAGGCAGCAAGGCCATGTCTCCGGCTCTGTTTCTCCCAGGAACAAGAGGAACATGATCGAAGTTCGGGAAGGTGCTTCATAGAGTTTTCCCCTCTGTCAAGGAGTTTTAAGCTGCTGGTTTAAATTGCTGCCCTATGAAGAATTTCCAGATTATTGGTGGGGCTTTCTTTTTCTGAAGAAAAATTTCAAACATTGTTTTTCCACCTTAGTTTTATGCATTCAGGTCAAAGTTTCTGGCTCCTGTTTTTGGTAGAATGAAATATCCCAACCTGGCTGAATTCAGGATGGAAATGTTTGTGGAAATTTTGGCCCGGCCCCGCTAAGTGGAGCATGTGGCTAGAGAGGCCCCCAAAACCCAGAGGAACTGGCTACCGACCACCAGCGGGCTTGGTCATGTGTGCATCTGTCCAGACAGCAATTTTTCCTCCCTGGCTTTAGTTCATGCTTTCTGGTTTCACAATATGTTCCTGTCCCTCAAGCCCTTCCCAGTCCTTTCCATGAAGGCTTCCACAAGCTCCTCCAGGCCACAGTGGCTTGTCTCTGCTCATACAAGAGTTAGACTATGTACAGTACGATCCAGGACTTAGTTGAACATTCTCGCTGCTTACCAGTGAGCCTCCTTTCCCTATGAAGATGGAAAGCATGCTGAAAGCAAAGAGCATGTTTCGTCAGCATTGGGCTAGTATACAGTGTAGGTGCATAAAATATTAATTATACTGATTAAAAGATGGGTCAGTCAAGGCTTTTCCCCAGGATGTTGATCTAACACACACACACACACACACACACACGATGGAAAACATATTTACTGGATTCTTCCCAGAGACGTGAAGGGGAAGCAGTAAACTCTGATCTATCTCATGAGAAGCAAAGTGTGGCTGGGAGAGATGCTCAAGGACTCCCAATAGACAGTTGCAACACATTTTTTCCTAAGGGGTTGGCAAGTTTTGCCCAAAGCCAAACTGATTAGGAAGACAGAATGAAGACTTGGCTACTGTTTCCCTTCACCAGGCAAAGCTCAGCACGACCTTTAAATGCATGTGCCCAGATTTGTTTGAAGAGCATTGTCTTCAGTCTGTTTTAGCTGCTATAACAAAATGCCATAAACTGGGTAGTTTATAAACAGAAGAAATGTATTTCTCACAGTTCTGGAGGCTGGGAAGTTCGAGATCAAGGCATGAGCATGTTTGGTGTATGCTTATGTCGAATAGGAGTGGTGAAAGTAGGCATCGTTGTCTTGTTCTAGTTCTTAGAGGAAAGGCTTTCGGCTTTTCCCCATTCAGCATGATGTTAGCTATGTGTATGTCACACATGGTCTTTATTATGTTGAGGTATGTTCCTTCTATGCCTAATTTGTTGACAGTTTTCATCATGAAGGATGTTGAAAAATATGAAATGATTTTTCGCATCTACTGAGATGGTGGTTTTTGTCCTTAATTCTGTGGATGTGATGTATCACATTTATTGATTTGTATATGTTGAATGAGCCTGGCATCCCTGGGATAAATCCCACTTAATCATTATGTATTATCTTTTTGATGTGCTGTTGGATTTGGTTTGCAAGTGTTTTGTTGAGAATCTGTGCCTCTATGTTCATCAGGATATTGGCTTGTAGTTTTCTTTTGTTGTTGTGTCTGTGTCTAGTTTTGGTATGAGGATAATGCTAGCTTTGTAGAATGAGTTAGGAAGAATTCATTCCTCTTTAATTTTTTGGAATAGTTTGAGGAGAATTGGTGTTAGTTCCTCTTTATAAGTTTGGTAGAATAAAGCTTCATTGCTTTATTCTACCCAGTCCTGGACCTTTCTTTGCTGGGAGACTTTTTCATTACTCCTTATGGTTTGTTCAGGTTTTCTGTTACTTCCAGATTCCATCTTGGTAAGTTGCACGTGTCCAGGAATTTTTCCATTTTATCTAGATTTTCCAGTTTATTATCTTGTAGTTGTTCATAATAGTCTTTGAGGGATTTTTTGTATTTCTGCAGTATCAGTTGTAATATTACCTTATTCATTTCTGATTTATTTTACTTTTTTTGAGTCTTCCCTCTTTTTTCTTGGTTAGTATAGTTCACAGTTCATTAACTTTGTTCATCTTTTCAAAAAACAACTTTTGTTGGTCCTTTTTTTTTAGTCTCTATTTGGTTTAGTTCTGCTCTAATCTTTATTATTTCTTTCTTCATGCAAATTTGGGGTTTGGTTTGTTCTTGCTCTTCTAGTTCTTTGACATGCATCATTGGGTTATTTATTTGAAATCTTTCTACTTTTTTTAATGCAGGCATTTATTACTATAAAGTTCCCTCTTAGCACTGCTTGCTATATCTCACAGGTTTGGGTATGTTATGCTTCCATCTTCATGTATTTAAATATTTTTAAATTTTATTTATAACGTCTTCCTTGACCCATTGGTTGTTCAGGAGCATGTTGTTTAATTTCCATGTATTTGTACTGGTCCCAAAGTTCCCCTTTGTTATTGATTTCTAGTTTTGTTCTACCGTAGTCTGAAAAAATACTAGATATGACTTTTGATGTTTAGGAGAATTTTTGAGACTTATTTTGTGGTACAACATATGGTCTATCCTGGAGACTGTTCCATGTGCTGATGAGAAGCATGTGTATTCTGCAACTGTTGAATAAATGTTATGTAGATGTCTGTTAGGTCCATTTGGTTTAAAGTACAGTTTAAATCCAGTATTTCTTGGTTGATTTTCTGTCGAGATCATCTGTCTAATGCTGAGAGTGGAGTACTGAAGTCCCCAACTATTATTGTATTAGAATCTATCTCCCCCTTTAGATCTGATAAGATTTGCTTTCTATATCTGGGTGCTCTGGTATTGGGTGTATATATATTTAGAATTATTAAATCCTCTTGTTGAATTAATCTCTTTATCATTATATAAATGACCTTCTTTATTTATTTTTACTATTTTTGACTTAAAGTCTTTTTTATCTGATGTAGGTATAGCTATGCCTGCCTGGTTTTGGTTTCTATTTGCATGAAATATCACTTTC